GGGGGGGGGATCTGCTTGTAAATGAGCGATCTCGAATTGAAACCCTTAATATTATAAAGTTCGAGCTCTAATCATACTAGTGCATATAAACGGAGAAATCCACAAGGTTGGAGCTTTCACGCGCAATAAGATGTTGACAGCTTAGTTATTCCGGAATTTGGGAATATCATATGACACCCTATATGTGGTTGTACATCAAACCAAAGTGAAATTAGTATAAGCGGAAGTTGTACTTCATTTCACAAAATGCTTTTGGAATAAAATAAAAATAGAATTGCATCAATCCAATCTGTAAGGGAATACGATTTTTCATCACATTTGAATTATGTTACTTAAATGAATTTAAGTAGTTTTAAGAATGGTAATGGGTACCTGAGTGGACTCAATGTTGTCTGGAGTGTGTTGGTCATTTGCACTGGCAGTTGCAGCCTGTGGGTCCATTCTATCCACACCCAAATTCGTGGCAGATTTAACAATGGAGTGCGAGGGCACATGAGACACTAAAATGGAAGGATAAAAACAGTGTAAGGCTAGAAAGAACGAGCTCACAAGTACAGTAAAAGAGAAGATCTCTCTCAAGCCTTTCGTAAGGCCCGATGCAGATAAGAGACTGATTCCACACAACCCCTATATATGACTAGGAGTATAAGAATAAGATACTAGGGAATCCACATTACTGCCCCATTCCTAGCCTCCAGTGCCATTGTGTGAAGGGACTGGCTTAGGACAAGAATAAGAATTGAACCTACTGACACCAGTTTAAGTGTTCCATATTCAAGAATCCTCCTGGAATTCTTAAATACATCTTTAGTACACAGAAGACGATTTCACTTGGAGAATGAAATTGAGGAGGTAGCAAGATGCCCCAGTATCATTGCATTCTAGACGATGGAATACAAAACCAATGGGCAGGGCCTGTGTCCTCTTCAAACTAAATGAAAAAATCAAAACTAAATCAGCAGGAATGTACAAATGCAGCTCACTATAACATGCGGGAAAAACCGAGGCTAATGGTTTATTCTATCGAATCTATCTATCTATCTAATTCCTCAGATGTACACTCGGAGATAAACATTCCCTAAGCATATCAGGCTTATGGCAATAAAACACAGTTTTTTTCCGAATGCAAAAAAATAAACAGGCAGAGAGTGGGGGGGGGGGCGGGGGGGGGGGAGGGAGGGAGAGATAATTTTGGCACAGAGTAAGTAGCTTGGATGAGACATTGAACAACTCATTCTCACTAAAAACTACTCGGTGATGAATGAATTATGAAAGTGGCAGAAATTGAAATGAATACGTTGGTTCTTACTTATGACTTATGTTCATAGTTGTTTAAGATGAACATCTGAAACGATTCTAACTATAGGTACAAACTTCGCATAGATAAAGCATTTTAGTTTTATTTCATTTTAAAAGGTTGGGCACTGGCAGACAGCTACCAGATGGCTAGTACGCAAAAGAGGATAATCACTTGCATCTACCTCTTATACAAATAAAATAAAGGTTTGAAATTCGTCAAGGAAATAGAGAGAAGCACGTAATTTGTGAACCGGAAAATAAAAGCCATCCTCATGGTATAAAATCACTGAAAAAATATAAAACTGACCGGAAAATATCGAGTGCGCATGCCATGCGTTGCATTTTGGTAAAATTGACACTACTCAATTAGAACAACTTTAAACCACTAGGCAAAATTGAATAAGTCAAAGGTCATTATTTCACTGAAATAAGGCATTATTGAGCTAAGTAGACTTACTCTTGTGAACTTCTTTGGCTGAGTGCCGTTTACCAATTTCGGCTAGAGAGCGAATGATGTGAAGTTGTTGGCCGGTCTTGGCACGTCTTTTCTGACGGGTGTAGAGAGTGCTGTGATGAAGGAGCAAGAGATCTCGTGTTTGGTCACGCAAATTCGGATCTAGCATCTTCTTCTTAACCATGCGTTGAACAACCTCATCTAAAATAGGGGAAACATGCTACTTACAAACCACTTGACTGGCCAATTTGTAATTATTGTTGCCAGAGATATTTCCTAGGGCGTACACCGTATGACACACCCTAAGCCGAAAACTGCTTGCTATGTTCTTAGACATAATTAAGGAAATCGAACTTCTTAAATTCGCATTTTAAGAGTCAAATTGGAGCCTGAACAATACAAATACATAAATAAATATTTTTTAAGTATTTAAAAACTAGGAGTCATATTTGTTTAAGGAGACCATGCTTTAACGGATAATTTGCAGCCTAAGCTACCGCCTTAATTCAGATCAGCTATCTCGGCTGACAGTAAACCACAAGGGGAACTGCGCTTGAGTTCAGTTTATTCACCCATTGGTTGGCAGGTGGGAAATAAGACCGCGCGGATATGATGACGCGTGAGAGTTGTCGCTTGAAGCCCCAAACCGCATGTGAGAGGGTGTTAAGTCGAATCGCCCAAGTCACTAGCATAGGCCCACTCTCTTAATTTGGACGAGTAAAAGCCTTACCTTCAAATTTTCCAGTTACTTTTATTGATATTTAGGTAGATTAAGGGCAGTATCCAGTTCAACACAAGTCAAATGTTTCTAAATAAAATATTCATTATTATTTTCTTCAGGCCTTCTTCCTGTGATCAGAGAAATAGTGTCAACACGGCGTTGTGGAAACGAATAGACCTCTACACACCTATACCATAAATTATACATAAAATTTCCGTCTACTTATCAATTTGAGTTAGTGGTACCTAACTATTTAAATTATGTAAATTAAGTACATTGCACAATAAGGCCTCCAAATTGATTGGTTAATCAATACCTACAAACGAAAGAGCATTGGCTCTAATTGTATTCATTTCCCTCCCCAATGCTTGAGGCATTCAAACATTCCACCCACTCAAAATCACTGCAAATGCCACCAAGGCGAAGAAGGCATTTCAAAAGAGAAGGTGAGCAGACACTGCTTTTTGAATGAATTTCGGAGGGCAAAGCAGCACTTTGGAGATGTTTCATACGTTCGACTAAATCAATTGAAATCTGCCAAGTAGAACGTCATAAAACGCTGGGGAAAGAGGATAAATTACAAACTCAAAGCAAGGCAACTGACAAACAAAGGAAAAAGAGCAAAAATGCCATAGGCACCCTGAAAGAGCACATGAAGTTGGTTAAACATAACCAGTATGCCGTTATTTTAATAACTGAATATCAAAAAATAGACTACCAATTGTAAAATAATAATCTATTTGTTCCTATTAATATGCTACTTAAATGTAGTCTACTAATTTAGTAGCCCCTCCTCATATACAAAGAAGTGCTCTTTTTACCATAAAACGACTTCAGTTGATCCCATTTATTAATTCTTAAGTAGAAGTTTAGAGGCGAATGAAACTACAGGAGTAGGAAAGGCTTCCTAAACGAAAACAAAAGTGCCATAACCGTTCTAGTCGTCTGGTTGATAAAAAGCACACGACTGTTATCCAAGAGGTAGTAAAACGTGCAACCCCCCCCCCCTCCCCCGGTAGGCCGGAGCCGTTTATCAACATTGAGTAGGCTACGACAGGCAACCATTTATCAACCCCTAACGGTGGGTGAGCAACGTGGTGGCACTGGCTCCACAATTTCGCAACATTCATAAGATTTCCTAGCTTGCATGCAACCCTGGACAACGTATACTCATACGGCAAAAAGGTCTATTGACCGGCAGTTGTCTTCTCACTTCAAACTACCACACTCCACTGTATGCCATAGTCGACCACTTCTACAGTACTCACCTTACCCTATTCTCTATCATTGTGTCTGTCTCCTTTACATCTGCAAATCACTCTTCGGTCCACCCTCTTGAATTTTTCTAACTTTGATGTTTCTCCCCTCTGTGAAGTTCGAAGTCAGCTAAGGGCTAATGATAACTATCGAAATGCCTGCCATTCGAAATAAATAAATAAAGTTTTTTTTTCTAAAAAGTAGCTAATTTAGTTCTAAACCTTTAATAGGCAGAACTCTACTGTCCACACTAAGGTAAATGCTCCGAAATTGTAAAAGAAAGCTCCAGGGCGACCGGTAGCAAAAATTGCCTCTTTCTTGATTGTGATTGGTGGAAATGTGTATTTACAGTGCGAATAATGGCAGTGTTGTAGGTGACATTTGATTGGATAGTGGGTAAGTCACGTTTAGAGGGAAATAGATGCATACATGCTACTGAAATAGGATTTAAAAAATTGTACATAGCTGTTAAATTCCTCTGTATATCTATCTACTTCAGGAGGACGATATTTTGTATTTGCATGGAAGCAAGTCCCATAGATAACTAATATAATGGAAATAATCGATTTCAAATTTTTAAATATGCAAAAGATAGTAAATAGAGCAAATGTAAGAGGAACAAAAATATAAACACAGAGAACTAATATATTTAAACATTTTCATCAATAATGCATACCCCGAAGCAAAGGATACTAATTCAAATTCACCGAATTTGCAACAGTAATAAGCAATGCTAATGGCACCACAAAATTGTCGAATATGGAGGAAAATCCGAATGAGTGAAACATTATTAGAGGCTAATAAGGCATGGGGATTGATCGGGAAATAATCTCAATAATGCCCTCAATTTCATATTTTGGTAATTTGACCCTCATGTTCATAGAAGGGGCTACATTAACGAAATTCACTCACATAGTCGTTGTTTGACTCAAGTTGTTGGATAATTAATCATTAACTTAAACAATAAGTTATACCTTCCGAGTACAAGGTTAGAAATGGCAGGTCCATGAACATGACACCACTGCTTCTGTCTATTCGATCGTGAGAGTTTAGTTATCTCCATCCCACAGGAATTATCAACCTGATTCTGGTTCTGTTTTGCCAACATAAGAGCATCTAGGAGATAATGTAGTGTCGATCTTTCAGATAAACACATTGAAGTAGTCCATACCAAGTACTTGATTTTGATATAAAAAAAACTGTGGAAGGCGATGCAGCAATCTCGTTCATTTAGACATCATCGAATCAAATTGCGAAAGGGTGTTGATAATTAGCAAATACATCAAGTAAACGAAAAAAGAGCATAAAATAATCAAACATTACTTCTCAGTAGGTAATTACTGCCATCTTAGTTCAGAATGCCTGACATTTTAAAATTTTAACAATTTGACCTTCAGTTCAGAAAAATGAGGCGTTTAGCTGAAAGGCGTCTTTGCATATGAGGAAATCAACTGAATTGGTTTGTAGTCGCCAGCTCAGCATGATGGCTAAATAAATTTAATGTGAGTGTTTAGTTGTAAACAATGGGAGTAAGTGCTAAAGTGGAGTGGATAAGCTGAAATTCAAACAAGCAACTGAAGGCCAACTTAAAACTTTTAAATTATATGGCAGAATGATAGAGAACTGGAGATTCAAGTAAATTGTCATTCGAAAGGCTGGACAGGAGAAGGATATTGAATGAAGGAGAATGTTGCCAATGGATGGAAAATAGCGCCAAATGCAAAATTTACCGGTCAAGATACGTAACCACTTATCCGGCACTGCGCAACAACACAAAGCCACTGGTTACTTAAGTGAGTCACAAGCGGTTCGGACAACTACGGCCATTGTTTGCGCCTATAAGCACGATTTCCAATAAGACCGTCTACTACCTTAAAAGAACACGTAACTATGCTATTTTTTGATCAAATATGGTGTCAAAGTATGAAGAAACAGAGACTTTGTGAGAATTGTTTCAAAAAGTAGCCTTGTGGAATGCAAGGAGATACTTGGAACCCATTCATTGCATCAATTTTGTCTCACTTAATAGGGACTTCCGAATTCCGAATGTCAACCCATCCATATATCGGGTTGGCAACTAAGTCATTGTCGTTTTTGTTGACAGATTCACTCTATACTTTCTTTTGTTTTGTTAACGTGGCCAGAACATCTAACCTATATTTTTTTCTTACTGTATGGGCTTCTAGGTTAATTAGTAAAAAATTTTTTTGTTTAGTTCTTTAGTTTTGTTTTTATCCCAAGTTAAAAATGAAAGAACAGGACGTGCACTTCCGACACATTTTATTGTATTACTTCCGAAAAGGCAAGAACGCAACGTAAGCACAAAAGAAGTTATGTGCCGTATATGGAGATGAAGCCTTAAAAGAAAGGCAGTGTCGAAATTGGTTTGAAAGATTTCGTTCCGGTGATTTTTCACTCAAAAATTCACAACGATCTAGCCGCCCAGTCGAAGTGGATGAAACCCATATCAAGGCCATTATCGATTCAAATCGTCACAGCACAACACGAGATATTGCAGAGAAGCTCAATGTGTCGCATACATCCATTGAAAAAAATTAAAAACCCTTGGTTTTGTCAAGAAACTTGATTTATGGATCCCTCACCAGTTAAAGGAAATTCATTTGACGCAACGGATTAACATCTGTGATTCGCCGCTACTGAAACGCAATGAGAATGATCCATTTCTGAAGAACCTAGTTACTGGCGACGAAAAGTGGATAGTTTATAATAATGTTACTCGCAAGAGATCATGGGTGAAGCAAGATCAACCAGCCCAAACAGTATCAAAAGCAGAGATTCACCAAAAAAGATTATGCTGTCAGTGTGGTGGGATCACAAAGGAATTTTGTAATTTGAACTCATGCCGCAGAACCAAACGATAAATTCAAATGTGTATGTTGAACAACTCCAAAAACTGAAGGATGCAATTGAAGATAAGCGGCCGGCATTATCAAATCGGAAGGGTGTTGTTTTCCACACATCTTTGATAACGCAAGGCCCCACACATCTTTGGTTACTCGGCAAAAATTATTGGAACTGGGTTGGGATGTTTTGTCACACCCACCATATAGCCCTGACCTTGCGCCTTCGGATTACCATTAGTTTCGTTCCATGCAAAACTCTTTAAATGGTAAAATTTTTAACAACGCGGATGATGTCGGATCACACCTAATTCAGTTTTTTAATAGCAAAGACCAGACATTTTACGAACGGGGAATTTTTACTCTGCCAGAAGGATGGAAAAAGGTCATCGACAAGAACGGCCAATATCTAATTGAATAAAGTAATATTTTTAAACAAAAATTCCGAATTTGCCTTCTTATTTGAAATCGGCAATGACTTAGTTGTCAACCTAATAG